CTCGATAGCGACTGAACATATACAAAGATTTCATTCTATGTGAGTATTTTAGGGGATCACATTTTAGTTGTTTTACACCTTTATTGTGCTGTTGATCTCGTTTTTTTTCTGTTCCGCTGAAAACCAAAACTAAATCGTGTATGAACATTTAAGAACTCTTGCAGTAAGTATACTAATATTTTATATAGCTTAATCGCAGATTTTGGACTAAATGCAGAGGAAATATTTTTCGATGTAGTGAGTAGTGATAATTTCAAACGCATTTAAGGTGAATCTTGGATTGAAATAGAAGAAAAGAATACTTGAACAGATTGGAATATTTTACTATGGAAATTTTAGTAAAGAACTTGTATTCAAAATAAGTAAATTAACCATCTTCACAAGGAATATGTAATGTTCCATGTCATCGATACTTCAAAGTTAATTCAAATTCATTCTTTCATAATATTTAAATGTCAATATTTTCATGATTGTATTGATTTTTAATGAATAAACTAATAAATTAGTTTTATTCAGTTCAGGTGTAATGGAAGATGGGTCATCTTCCTCTTTAACCACATTTTGATTCAGCGTTTTAGTCATTATTCGCAGAAAGTATATACTGTGAAATAACGGGTTGAGAAGAGAAGAAGAAGAAAAACAACGAATGAGGCGAAAAAGTGCGAGAAAAGCATTAAATTCCAAATTAAACGTGAGCATAAAATTGAAATGTATTTCTTGTTTCATTTTTCTCTTTTTTCAGTGTTGATATGTCGAGCATGCACGAAGTGTACCATTCTTTATATTTTATTTGATTAGCGGTAGAAAATAGGCGCATTCGTGCTTTGGCATCGTTGGCATTACCTTCCGTTACTTTAATTGTTAGTTTTTGTTATTGTTTGCGGTTATTATTTGCAAAATCAAAACGAAATCGGCTTTTGCGTGTATTGTATGTGCTTCGTAATCCGTTGCCAAAGCCATATACACAATTACTGTTGCTTTTGATTATTTTTAGTCGCTGTTAATAAAAGGTTACAATAAGGGAAAAGGAAGTCAAAAATAAGACGCTAAGAGTGAAAGAGAGATAAAATGAAAGATTGAGAGACGTGATTACGAGTATGTGCACAGTGGCGTTAGGTGCAAATTAATTTAAAATTATACGCTATTTCCAAACGCCAGACATTGATAACAACAACAAAAATTAATCCATTTCCATAATTACAAGCAAAACGCACGCAATGTTGACGGATTGAAAAGATATATTCTGAAATAATTAAATAATTTTCGTTGAACAATAATTCGTCTGTAATTCATTACTAAGTGTAAGAGGATGAATACTTATCTCATCTCTTAATCATCTCCTTTTACTTGCACATTCGCAATCGTAATCTTCGGAATTTCTTTAACGAACTATACAAAAGTACCCAGTTCTGAATGTTGACACAACTCTCTACTACACACTGCATACCACAAGCAGTTGAAGATTGTTTTAAAAAGCACGTATCCAACACGATTGAATTAATTTGTTATTTTGTAAATTTGAGCTTTGTTTTGTTTTGTTTTGTTTTTGCTTTAGGCACATGGCGTATCCTGTGATAATACAAGTATAATAATAACAAGACTGTGCTATGTATTTTATACACTTGTAACATTGATGGCGTCGACTTGCATAACCATCACATAAATGATGGTTATTCGTACAGATTGTTGCGACAATAATATGCATAATATATTTATTCACAAATGATCAACAGAATACAAGTCTCAATGAATAGTGTAAATACCAATTCAGCTACTCTAATTACACTTTATACTCAAAACCATCGTACGATTTGAGTTTTTTGTTTCATTTTCAGATTGTTCATTACCAATTATGTTATTATCTAATGCACAATACTCGCCTAATTCGAATGTGCTTCGAGAGTTAAAATTCTAAATAACGCTCGCTTTCTTCTTTTTTTGTTTAAATATCCCATGCATCGGCCAAACTCTATCCAAACAATGTTTTCATTCAAATAATCCTCTCGTTTAGAAGAGGTCTAAAATATAAATGTCGCAAAGCAAACCAACCGGTGCTAATGAAAAATGCTTAAATCGACGGATGACCGGCGGCCGATCTTGGCCGATTTGCAGAATTTTTGCTATATTTATCGAACCACTTGATGGACTTTTAAAAATGTTGTATTTTTAGAAAGATGACGTTAACATCTTTCAAAAAATATAAAATTTGTTAAAATCCGTTCAGTGGCTCTAAAGTTATAGCAGAAATTCCGAATGCCCTCTTGAATCGGCGACAAAAATCGGCCGCCTAGGAAATGGTACCTTAAGTTGTAAATGGGATTCATCCCGTTCTTTATACGGTGTATACTCAATGAAAAATAAAATTCAAAAGAATACTGCTACCTTCATGAATATGAAGGAAGAACTTTCTTTTTGAAAAACTCCTACATCGGAGCTACTCCCAATAATATTTGAGGGCCTGAGAGTGAAAGTGACCAACAAAAAGTTGAGCATAAAAGTGACCTAACTCCACACAAAACAGTGTGACGGTAGCATGTGTTTTGTATGGAATTAGGTCACTTTTACGCTCAACTTTTTGTTGGTCACTTTCACTCTCAGGCCCTCAATTAATGCATTACTTCCTTCTAACACGATTGGGGGTGAGAAAATTCGTTTTTATCCGATCATAAATCGGCGTTGAAAATCTTGGAAGTATGCATTAATACGATCAGTATCACACAATTATAACATACATATGAACCGTTAAGAATAAGAGACAAGCATTAGCGAAATGCGTAGAAACAGGAACCCGAAGGTCATAAACGAAAGAGAAAGATATTGTAGTTGTAATTGCGGCAATAAAATTCAAACGCAACAGTATCAAGTTCATAGCATGAAGTACCTCTTTGGTGCGCGACGGATTTAAGTGCTGCTTTTGCGTATACTTTGGAAAGGTCTGTTTTTTTTCAAACTTCATTCCCAAAACTTTATATATGTACTTATGTACAGAGCATTGAAGCTGCTCCATATATATTTGCTGCTGGTGAACAGATCTGTTCGACAGCAGCTGTTGCTTGCGTGCATATTCGCTGTGAAGCACGTTCGTTCATGTATCGATTCTCGCGCACAATGTTTGTCTCTTTCATTCAGACGGAACCAGACAGAGAAGCGTATAAAACACACGAGGCGCGAACGGCAGCTATGTGTGTGCACGCGCGCGTCGCTTACGATGTATCTCGTGTGATCTGTATGCTTCTCTGTCTGGTTCCGTGTGAATGAAAGAGACAAACATTGTGCGCGAGAATCGATACATGAACGAACGTGCTTCACAGCGAATATGCACGCAAGCAACAGCTGCTGTCGAACAGATCTGTTCACCAGCAGCAAATATATATGCAGCAGCTTCAATGCTCTGCTTATGTATATTGATATTTTTTGAACCACCACAATACTTTCAATTTGATTACACGTCAAACCAACAGCGCCACACCACGCCACACATTTTGACGGCAATGTTTGACCAACGTTTAGCGCCGTGGAGTGAAAAATTCTTGAACGGATTTCATTTTGCAAATGTTGTTGTTGTTAGTGTAGGACCATCCCAGTGTTCTGAACCGAGGAAAAAGATCATAGAAATTGTTTTGCAGGTAGACGCTGTCGTAATACTTTCCACGATTTGCATAAAATTAACTCGACAATTTTGGAAGTTATTATCTTTATTCAATCTTATTTATTCGCCAATCTCAACTGGCTCCAATTATGTAAGTTGGATACATATAGATCTAAACGCATTTAGCGACATTTGGTTTTTCCATATACATTTTGTAATATGGTTATCCTTTAATGTTAACTGGATGCGTTGCACATGTATGTTCCTTCCAAATACAATATGTGTTGTACACTCTATTAGATCCTTTCTTTGATTCCGTTTCACGTCACTCACACATGAAAGGTGCTTTCGTTGCACATCGCCTGTTTCGCTACTGACTTGTAAATCTATACATGAAAATATTAGCATAAATTTGCAATTTCATTTTCGTAGCATTTGTTCGGTAAAAATTTGATTACCTATTATGGAAAACCAAAAAAGGCGTTGAGTATATTTAAAAATTAATGCACAACTCCTTTATATTGATAAAGTGCAAAGTGTGTAGCTGTACCCCCAAATTGATGAAATAACATAAAAAGAAAACGAATGTGTCGACAAAAAATTGTGAAAAAATTACTTCGATCACGAAACTACATTCCTTTCATTTTCCTTTGTTATTGAATGTATTTTACATTTTTGTTACACTTCAGCAGATTGTTGGCGGGTTACAATGTGTTTTAGTCTGTAATGCAGCTAACAAACGTGATCTTCTATGCAAATTTTGGCAAATGAATTTTTTTCTGATGGGTTCAAAGTGATAAATACCCTTAACGGCATAATAGCATGTTTAATCATACATTTCAAATCAATAACTTGAGCAAAACCTCTGAATGAATTTCAATCGTGAAAATCATGCAACATTGATGTGGAATTTATATTGTTTTCCCCTTCAACCATAAAATAGCAACCACTCTAGGTTCAAATCAGAACCTATACAAATTTTTTAATACCATTCAAGGCAAAATGGAAAGGAAGTCGGTAAAAACATTGTGCAAACGATTAGCACGTAAATCTATTCCTCCATAACCATTTGTGTTCCTTCGTTGTTTCACTTCACACCACATGAAAATGCACCATTAAAATAAGTTATAATTTTATTATATTTGTAATTTCTACCGGATTGTTTGTTTTCAAATCTTTATGTTAATATTTTTATTCACAAAAAAGTTATTTTGATTTCTTCATAAACGAGTTTATGTGTGAAATATAGTTATGGCTACTGGTAAAATAGCATGTAAAACATGGAAACTACCAATTTAAGTTCACACAAGTATGCACGACAAAGAAGAATAAACATAGGGAAGGAGTAGAAAAAGAAAACCACAAAAAAGAAACTTTGATTTTATAATTTGAGATCGCTATTGGTACATACCCATAGGCAGCTAGCGCTGGATCATACGGATAATATCCTGTAGTTGGTTGAAGTCCTGCTGATGTCCACGCACCCATATCAGTACCGGGGGGCCCACTATCTTTTAGGCCATATGGATTACTCTATCAGAAGAAACAAAAAATTAATTAATTTAGAACTCTGTCCAAAAACAATTTTGTTGAAAAAAAGCAAACACTTTGTTTATCATAATCAAAATGATCAAAATTATGGACTTGTACTGCTGTGCTCGGTTTGAGATAATCAATATTGTTTCAAAATATCATTTGGTTCATCATGTGTGTAGTTTGTGAAAAATTTATTTATTGAAAGTATAATGAAATAAATGAGTTTCTTTAATTTTTGAATAAATTATAAAAATAGCACAAAGACTCATAGCAGCGCAGTGCTGGGAGCAGGTGAAATTTGAAAGTGGATTCTGTCTAATCCTGCTTCGATCTTCATTTCAATTTTCTAATTCTGAAGGCATAGAAGACGGTCTTCAACAAAATAGATAGGAGCCAACACCCCCGCCATCCTACGATCATTCTCTTGAGAAACTTATTCTTGTCATCAGGTTCCGAAAATCAAAATTATGATCCGAGCTAAACTGGGCTTACTCCCCTTCCTGTTCATCAGTATGTTCAGTTCAGATTGTATAATAACAAAAAATTAAACTTTCAGCCGCCAGCCTATAGAATTTTATCCGATACGTGCCATATTCGTCGATTCGGAAATTACGTAATAGGAGCTAAAATAATATGGCCTTCTGAGTCTTTAATCATCACAAAACCACTTGTACGCATAAATGTGCTTGATGCCAAGAAAAAACATTATGATTACAATTTTACAAAGCATAACTTATGTTGGATAATTATCCAAGAATTTTTTCCGCTATCATCGAATCGTATAAGAAGAAAAGTATCAGCAGTATTGAATATATCAACAGTAATTACAATAATTTTCATTGATGTATATAATGACCGATCATTAAACTCCTGCTATAAATGCCCGTTTTCATTTACTCGTTTATTGGTCTCTTTTACTTTTTTGGCGGAGCGCCAAAACTGAAGATCATTCAAATATCTATGGGTGTTATTGAGAGTGGTGGATGTTTCACAGACTTTGTTTTGGAAAAATTATAGTATGTTCTCAAGCGGTGAGCAAATTTTCAAATAATTTATTTATTTCAATTGATATACGATAATTGTCTTCTGCAAAGTTGAACGGTTTAACAATTTTTTCGAAGATACTAATTCCACATTTTTTGTCAGTAAAATAAAATAAAAACATACTCCATTTTACCAAACTATAAGTCGTCAAAAAAATACACTACTCTCAACTAGACTCTCAATCTCACCCATAGATATATGAATCGCTGAGCGGATTAATGCAACGTAATTTTTCTGTAAAATGCCCCCAAAAGGAAATTTTCTGGAAAAATGTCCCAAGAAATGCTGTTTGAAAAAACGACACTTGAATTTTTTCGCCCAAAAATATTCATGTACCACTTTTATTGGTACAAAGAAGAGCTACTCATTTGGTCTATTCGAATTGAACACTTTTCGATATAACGATAACACCGACGGATTGGGCACACAAAATACTGTATCAGAATGGAGATCAAATTTTAAACTTTTCATTTGATTTTTGGCTGTATTGGACTGTCTATATGGGAAGTTTTTTCTTGAAATCCTTGGAGCTTCGCTGGAATTGCGTTGATTCGTATGGCAAAATTTACATATATGATCAAGACTGAGACTTGTTTGCAAGAAAAGAGCAGAATTTACCAAAAAATAATATTTGGTGTTCATCGCCCCCATACCACGAATACAAAAAATTGATGACTTTCAATTGAGCCATCATTCCACATAGGGGTCTTCGATTTTCAAATCTTGGACAACACCTAGACCCCCCCCCCATGCATACGTCTGCGTCTGAAACATTATTTTGACGCCCTTACAGTTGAAAATGTTCATTGCCAGCTGAGATCCATCTTATGATGATTGATAAACAACGTGGATATTTGTTGGGAGTGAAAATTTTGCCCCTTCAATGCGTTAAAATAACCCTTTAGGCGCCTGAGGTATCAAATCTAACCCAGCTCAGTCCTGCTCAGCAGCAAATATGCACTTTATGCTGTTGTTACGCAAAAAAACTCATTATGTGACACTTAAGTGAATTCACCGATGGGATGCTGCTATCGTATAAGTCGGTTAATAGACAATGGCTGGACAAATTCCACTTCAAGTGGAAACCGAGTTCGGCTCATGAATTTGAAGACCCACAGAGCAAATATGAAGAAACAGCTGTATCATGCACACATTGATTTGCTTTGCTATTCTTGTTGACTTTGATTGAATTTGAAATAAATGTACGAAACCCTATATAAAATAATATGAGTGTGCTGATTTTTTGTAAATATTGCGTCGGGAGGGTTAACTTGCGCGCGTGCTGGGGAGAGCATAACCGCCCATATTTTCCATCCGTATATATGAATTATACCTTGAATAATTTTTTTCACAGTTTGATTCAAGATAGAACGCACATCTAATTTTAGAATAACCCAAAATAGTTCATAAAGTACAAACGAACATATCAACTCATAGGACATCCAATGGGAAAATTGTAACGCTATTTAGACCCAAATTCTGCTTGAAAGTGTGACGCATTTTTGACCCAAGCAGAGTGTAAATGTTGACCCAATTTAGAGTAAAACGTTGCTCCAAATTGGGCCTATATATTATTTTCATCCATTTTGCATCTACGTTATTATACACAATTACGATGATTTCACTCATTTTGGGTATATATTTTGGCCCTATTTAGGTCTAGTACGATTTGACACAAAATGAGCTTAGTGCTTCACATAATTTGGTCTAAAAAAACTAAGCCTGCAAATTGCCCATTGCCTGCATACTGCAGTTCAGAATATTTACTATACTAGGTTTGAGCTTGTCACCGCTATGTGTTAATTTTGTGGCAATGCTGTGGCGCCACTCTCTATATTAGGGAATTTTACTTGAATAATATGAACTGCTCTTTATAACCGCGACCGTGTCATTTGGCAACTAGAAACGGTTAACAGTAATTCGGGAGTAAAAGGTTTGACAAATTTTAAAACTAGTGGAACATGTTATACGCTTATATATAAGAACCGCAACACTAATTTTATTGGCGGTAGAAATATTCTGTCAAATTGTGGATGAACCAAACGTGATGTTACGACGCCAAATTAATGACACTCATTTGGTCTATTCGGCTTAGCCGAATTTTAGACCAAAATTGTATCTCTCTCCATTGGGCGTAAATTGAGTATAGTCTCGATCTGAAATGTCCTACCAAGGTAGAGAGATATTAATCGAAATTGTTATGACATTTTATTTCTAAGACTCGATTTTATGTATTACTTTACATTAAAGCCGTCAAATGACCTGCTAGCGACGTCTCACTGCGACAACGTAAACTACAGTATACACCGAGCATTCCTTCTTCTTCTTCTTCTTCTTCTTCTTCTTCTTCTTCTTCTTCTTCTTCTTAACTTATGCCACTTTCTTCTGTTGTGAGTGTGTAGCTTACGTTGTATGGAAAAAACAATCAAGTCTTGTTCATTTTAGGTCTACGCTGAACTTACGACCAATGTCAAATGAATTTAATATACAATTTTGATATCAGCGAAAATTCAGTTTTAACCTAGTCGAGACCATATGAATACGGCAAAAAATGACTGTAGTTCTGATCTAGATTTTCTCATGGATATAAGATTGCATCTGTATCGATACCGATTGAATACATACTTTAGACATCTTATTATGCTTTTCAGCTTATATATGTGTCGATTGGATGAATTGTGGCTATTTTCGGGAGATTCCATTCCAAGATGTTCGATGCCTTCTAATCGTAATTGGTTTTTCGTAATGTGTAGTGAATGTGAATCGCTAGAAATTCTAACAACAGCTTTACTATAGGTTTCAAACTAGACTATTGCTAACTTGACAAAATCATCCTTGAAGGATGTGATAACATCAATCAATATCGCAAGGCGGCAAGTTGAAAAAGATCAACGACTGTTATGTATGTTGGATAATAAAGCAAGCCGAAAATTTATTTGACAAACTAATATCTCAGCTTATGTGCGATTATTTCTTCAATATCTAATCTTGAACAAACAATCCGGCTTGTGTGTTCCATTTTTTAATCAATCAGAACCAAAGAAAAAATGTCCCTTGAACATCGATGAGTTCGATTTCATTTCTTATCATAAATCAAAACGTAAATAAAAAGGTGATCAAGAGTCAAATTCAATGGTTTCATTGTGATTGCGAATGCCGACTCATTGAAAAATGTGATAAACCAAGTGATATCACAAAAAGTGTATGTCAACATTTCGAATGTGATAGATAAGTTTTTTGTCATGACTGCAGTTTTCTATATTTTGATTTTTTCACTTGATGTTTTTATCTTTATGCAATCAACTTTTTTGAAGCCAGTGACTGCACTCACATTCATTCAATAGCATCGAGACTTTTTGATCGAGGTAACACAAATGTGTTAATTCTGTCCTTCAGGAACAGTAAATATGTAAATAATAATACAGTGATGTTCAAAAGTTTGAGTACGATTGAAAAAATCCCATTTTCACAAAAATTCTGACCATTTCGATACAAATCGAGTTAGTACAACTTGGACAAAAATAATAACTTTTTTTTAGCTCAAAGCACTATATTTACAAATTATTTGACGAAATGGCTTGTACACAATTTAAATTATCGGGAACTGGGGGATTTATAAAAAAAATGTCAGAATACTGTTTGGGGTTTGAGCAAAAATAATTTTTTTTTCTGAAAAATGATGAAATTCTATGGAAATATTGACCAAAATAACAAAGTCGTATATTTCCTATTCACAACAAACAAAACTCTCATTTAATTTGGATAAATTAACCAGTGGTGGATATTTTGGATTATGTACGAGCTTAACGGCAAAAACGTGATGTTTTGTATAGTAAAATCGACGGTTGCGCCACGAACTCTATAGCAATGCAATGTAATTTGAAGTTCATTTTGTAACTAAAATGGGCGGTTTTTTCTAAATTTCGCTTTATTGCCGCTTCTTGGTACGATCCATTTTGAAATCAAATTCAAAGTACATAAATTATAAATATTGTCGAAGAACTGTAGGAATTCACATAATTTTCATAGAAAAAAATGAACTGACTCATTGATATCCACAATGTATTGTTTTGGTAAGATTTACGAATTGGAACCAAAACAAGTTAATTTTTTTTGTAGAAAAACATGATTTGTCCAATCGTTCCCAAACTTATGCACGACACTGTAGGTCATCTTTTGGAATTTTTTAGAGAAAAATTGAGTTGTCATACATCATTTCAACATTCCACACATTCTTATTTTGCATTTGGAATGTCATTCAAACGTGTTTACCGAAAACATTACATTTTAAAAACAGAAGGGACAACGAACATACGCAAAATATGTTTTTTAGATAACATTTCGTGAATTTGAATGGCCGAATCTCATTGGCTTAATTTATTATACTTGCACACGTGCACAGTTTTCGATCTTTGAATGGCTTTTCCACGAATGAATGAGCAGAAATTTACTTGTGATTCGATGTATTTTTTATGTGATGACATGTAGTTTGTGTTTAATTTTTCTGCAAACAAAATTAATTTCATACTTTTTTTTTATATTAGCCAATTGAGAAAAATGCAGGGTGTTTCATAAATTGTGCATCACAATTTCATTTTATTCAGAATATCTAATCAGACGGATCTAATTTTTTCTAGAAACAGCTCAGTAATTGAAATTTATTTCCACCTTTTTGGCTTAACCCATTAACTACCAGTGGTTGATTTTTCGACTAGTGACATTCTCCCAGGTTCTATCGCACTCCCCAGATGAAGAATTCGGTTAATTATTTTTTTTAAAATAAAGTTTGAAATGTGTACTTTCCACTCAGAAAACCTGAACCGAGCTTAATAACCACAGTTGAAGCTGTCACTGAATAGCACCACGAATGTGGTTTGATTTTATTGCGAATTCATAATGTGAATACACCACATAACGTCATAAACAAACCACGGACTTCACAGTAAACACAATGATTTTAGCAATGTTGAGATTTGACACTTAACTTTTTTTCAGTACCATTTGCTCTAGAAAAAGTTCAAAAGTTCTATAATAAATACATGAAGCTTTGATTTGTGATTTAGTACATTTTGAACTTTTTCTAGTACAAATGGTACTTAAATGGATTTTAGTGCCAAATTTCATATTGCGGTTCTAAAAGTTAGAACCATCGTGTTTACTGTGTTGACATAACCCCAAAAGTGGTTTGTTTATGACGTTATGTGGTGTATTCACATTATGAATTCGCAATAAAATCAAACCACATTCGTGGTGCTATTCAGTGACAGCTTCAACTGTAGTTATTAAGCCCGGTTCAGGTTTTCTGAACAATGAGAATGGAAAACTTCATTATTATTGAATTACAAAATCAATGAAAAGATTTCAAATTGGTCGGGTCGAGCAGCGAATGAAAACAGAAATTTCGGAAAAAAATTCCCTAAGAAATACCCATATACCAAATTTTCAATTTTCGATCGCTGTTCAAGAAAAATGGGACACACATCTCACGATCTGTGAATTCTACTGTCATTTTTAGACCAAAATTAATAATAATTGAAAGTATCACGCAATTTAAAAATAGTTAATGGGATAAGGCACTATTTCCAAGGCTCACGATCGGTCACGATTTGAACTAGCTAGTCGATCTAGTTTATTCTATGGATGGATATGTGTCTTTTCGAAGCCCTGTGTTCGGATGAATGACGCAACAATTACGTTCTGGCCACAAAAATAGAAAAATGTGCAGAAAAGACCCAGACAATAAGGTTGAAATATATTGATTAGAGCATCAAACTGTGCGCTCGGATTCTATACAACGGATAATGAGTGACTGGTATCGTTTCATGTCATTTGCAAATTATACAGAAAAAACGTTGAGAACCCATAAAAATGCTGTAAGAATAATGTTTTATCCAAGAATGGTGACAAAGACGACGTGAAATTTATGATTTTATTCTGGTTTTTTCTCTGTTTTAATTCACGTGCCTTGTTGGTGCTGAAGAACTGGCCATACAAAAGCCCCGACTCTGGCCACAATGCGAACGATTCAATCTCAATAGTCGCAATAAATACGGAATAACTATTTTTCGGACGCTTGACAAAGTAAAGAGCGTGTATCGTATACAAGCAAAGGAGCCACTATTTCTAAACAATGATTAAGGTACACCATTCCGCACTTTAAAAACATACGGTTGTCACAATGGCAACATACACAGCTTGAACTTAATATATATTCGCCGGGGCTAGGGAAGAAGCTAAGCTAAAACTTGACATATATGATATTCTATTAATTTATTCCTTTTTCCTCATATGGTTTCGTCATTTGCAGGCAGCAAAAACGTAATAAAATAAAGACAATAATAATACTTCTATCTGATAAAAGTGCTTTGAACAATCATGTTTTACACTTCAAACACAGCGAGAGAATGAGAATGAGAAAGAGTATTCGTGAGGCGACGGGCTGATTTTATTTTTTTACTGTCCATATCTATATAGATTTATTTGCGTTTGAATTTTTTAACTTATAATAAAAATGATTGGCAACATATCAGCTCTTTTAAAGCGAATAGCATGAGCAAAAACAATTAAGAAAACTAAAAAAAACAATAATAGCGGACTATCGTTGCAACTGCACCACGTCTGCCGATTTAAACAAGTTTTGAAATTAATGTCTTATTTTATTTATGTTAGCGTCGCATGTATAATATTACTGTTCACCAGCTCTACCTCAATATATAATAATATCTGATAAAATGACTATAGTGCGCCAGTCTATAGTTGCTGACATGAATTCAAATTGAGCCTGCACCGAGATTCCATTTGTAGATTTCTCAAATTGTTTGGCCAAATTCGAAGTGCGGATTGGCTTTTAGGAAATATCATATCTTTTTTCCCCAAAGATAGTCATGTTCATCGTAACTGTTATTAATTTTATCTCGAGCCGCATTTAAAGTATAATGGTAATGTCCAGAGTCTGGACTCCAGACATTTAAAAAAAAGATAAATGGTTCATTATACGCATGAGTTGAAACAACTTACCAGTGGTGAATAGAAAGCAGAACTATCTACACCAATTGATGGATACGGATTTTGATCCGTTGATGGATAAGGCGCTCCGTAAACGCTAACGCCAGCCGAAGGTATGCGGGAGTAGCCGGATAATGCCAGTCTCGCTGAATCATATTGACATGAGCAAACGGTTTGTCCGGACACAGGATCGGTCATAATTGGTCGCCCATTTTCACAACATGATTGCATTGGTGCGGCGGCTGCGTTTGAATTCTGTGATTGCGCGCCGGGACTTATCGCACCACTTGGAACACCTGTTGCTGACCCACATCCAGGACTTATTGAAGGTCCACTATTAACATTAATATTTTTATAAATCAGTTTTAAATGAAATTATTCCTTTTAAGTAGAAATATAATAATCAAAAATATCAAATAATTATTCTGATTATTTAATATTTTTACAATTCGCCTACCTGTTATTTGCATTTCCCACCAGTGTGCCCGATGAAGTAGAACTGATGTTAGCAGGCGCAGGTGATTGGGCACTTCCAGATGTGGTTTGCCCACTTCCACTCAGCAACTGAAAGAATGTGTAAAATATCAGTTTGAATAGTTTTCCCAAACATTGTATTACATTGGATTACAATTCATAACATTATATTTCTCAAATGTAACAAAATTATTATTTGAATGTTGCAGGTTTGTATAATATTACAAAAAACAAAAAACATGTTTTCATTGTGGATAAACCATTTTTTCTTGTGTTTTCATCTAAATACTTTCATGAAGGTATAAATGGAAGAAGCTAACACGGTGAACTTTGAAATATTCGAAGATGATTTCATAATATTGTCCAACTACAGCCGGAGTGACAAAATAAAATCGTTCAGGTGAAAATAATCGTAATAAGGCAAAAATTTTGATACTTTGGAGAACGCTTATCAATGCTTTTGATACTCGTGCTGTGGTCTAAAAAACTCCAAAACAGAAGTTTTAATCAAATGGTTTATATGGTTACATTCAATCGAAACCACGGCCGTATTCAGCCATACGCTTGGGTGAGCTCAGCTCACCCAAAAATTATTTGAGCTCACCTAAAAATGCTCGACTCCCAAAATTATTTTAGCTATAGTTTTCGCTGTAGTTAAGAATCCTCTGAAAAATTTTGCTCGCTCCGCTCGCAACTCATTTTTTTTCATTTGAACATTACACAAATTATATTTTTCTTACACTTTACCAACATAACTGAAGCCAAATATGATGATTAAAGTGAAAACATTTTGACCACATCAATGCAAAAGTCAACTATATTGAAAAATTTCCTAATTTCTCTAATTATAGTACGATTTTCTAACTGAATACTGAAAATCTATATTTCTGTAGATACGTAATTTCTAGCGAATCGTTTGAGTTATTTTCCTATTGATAATAACTAATTTACAATGGCTGTCGTGTGTATTGGTTTTTCAAGAAAAATTTCTGCATCAAATTGACAACATCAACACAGTGTAAACCGTTGTCTTAAATTGATATGTTAGTTCTGACGTGGCATATTATAAAGTTCAAGCAATACAATACGAATAACAATTTCAAATTACTACAGACACTAAATTGAATCTGATGGGATTAAGAATCCTGATGATTCGCTAGAAATTACAAATCACGTGTTTCACCGTGATATAGTGTGAATCTGTGAATGAAGCGTTTTTGGAATAAAAGGAATGAAGTTCCAAGGGGCTGGGATCTCTATAAAATCACATTTTATACATTATTTGATTATTTGTGGCTTTTACACTAGACAGAATCGATTTTCAAAATTAATGACAGTTTCATAATCATCAAATTTTGCTGCGCTCACCCAAAAATTCTCTCCGCTCATCCAAGAAATTTGTGCTGGCTACGGCCGTGATCGAAACATAATAAAATGACAATTGAATTGCTTGAATTTTGTATTGCTTTGTTCGTGGTTATAACTTGCTTTGCTTTGTATCACCTCAGCATAATGCTCTTGAAAAGAGACTTTAGTTTGTTTCAATTTTCAACCATTTTTTCATCGATATTTTTCACCTTCGCAAGTAAAAATACAATTTCTTCATCTGTATATAATTCTATAATATATAGAAAATGCACTACATATCTATGGATGAATTTCTTCCAACTTAAAAATGGCTGAAGAAGATGATATTTGTTCGCTCTTTCAATAAACATACAATAATCTTAATTTCATCCATCAATTTATTTGCATGAATAATAATTGTTGAGTTGATCCGATAATATTTCTTATTTATACTGTAGACTGAATATTTGTCATTTGGCATTTGTTTCAAAATGGGAAGCTAATTGAGTTGATGAACAGAAAGAAAGAGCAGATGCCAATTGCAAGGGACCTTGTATGTCGTGTTATTTGAGTGCGAAAACGAAATTAAACACATTTTTCCTGTTTGCAAAATAAGTGAATATCAAATTCCATATAATTATTTTCCTTCATTTCTTTCTTATTTGCTATTAAACGGCATAAATTGAAAAAAGGAACAGTCACGCCATTAAAAAACGGTGTGAATTGAAAACGATCATGGGCGAAAAAAACTGATTAGGAGCACTAACTGCTATAATAATGGTGAACATTTCATTTTATTGATGCAAAGGAGAAGGAACAAGTGAAAAGAAAAGGTAAATTATGTGGCAAACATTCGTCTCATGACCGACAGATGAATTCATCATTGGTCTTTTCTATGCTGCAAAGTCAATATTGATTGTGAACGATTTTATGAAGTCATTGGAGCATTTACTTGCATTTATGTATTTTATTAAACTTTATATGACTCTTACTTCATAAAGTAAACTATTTTTCAGTTTAAAGTTTCAAATCGCTAGTAAAAAGAAGGAAAATACACTGTCCATTCTTGTTATGTATGTTTTGTTGCTTCGGTCATTCATTTGTTCGCATGTTTTATTCAATGTCGTTGTTTGGCGCACAAGTTGCACCTGTTTCCCGTATGCCTCTTACGGCATATTTGTTTAATTGATATTCGTTTGGTTGTTTTCTTCAGTATTATTTTCGTTGACGATTTTTGCGATTGACGTTTAAATTCGCACTCACATCAGTTCTTTGAACGGTTGTTTGAATAATTTACTTGACGACCACATTGTGAACATTTCTTTTGAACCTTTTCTCATGAGAATTCTTCAAAGTAAGTGCGAAATATTATTTATCTTGTACCTGTGGGTACCATCAACAGGTCTTTTATTTGATTATTGGTACTATTTTCGTCGATAATTATTTTAAATGGTACAAAAATTTATGTATTGACATAGGACGAAAATAATTCATTTAAAAAAAAATGCCAATATTTTCTGGGATTTTTTTTATTCTATTTTTATTTTATTTATTCTTACAAGCACTTCCTCTATTATTTACAAGCAATGCCGTTTCAATTTCTACGTTTCTAAAGTTTAGTATATTGTTGAAATTCACTGGGATCTATCATCATGCCTTCTGACTGTTATACAATAATAACATTACATAATTTTACACATTGAGGATTGTTTTTATTTCGTAACAAACATGTACTTAATTGTACATCAGTAAAACTCAAATCCTCTAATTCGTTAATACTTTTCGTTCAAGAATGGTCAATTAACCATTAGTTATCGTCGATGCCTATAATTCATTTTCAATTAATCATAAGAGCATGACATAGTTGAGAACCACACAAACACATTGCATCAAATAAGTTATTTTTGTGAACTAATGCAATGTGAAATATCCAGTGAACATGGTCTTTAAAATATATTCATTTGAAGTTAAATCACACTTTACGTTTGAAAGATAATAGTATTCAAATAATTGATAGATGATGATCTCTCAGGGTGACTGTAACTGTAAACAATCAAGGTTTTATTGGTTCTTTCGTTGGAATCAGATTTCCAAATTCTATTTTTCATTCTTACGGAATGTAATTTTCACAAAGAATACGTGATTAAATATTGATAAAACCAGATCAATCCATATAATTTGCCTTCCAACTGTTTGAATTTCTATTTATGACATATGTTTTTATGCTTCACAAAATCAGAAGAAGAAAATCCTATATCCCTCTGAAAAACATAAATGAATACACATGATTTTTGAGGTGTGTGTGTGTGTGTGTGAATAAGATCTGTGCTCTTATTTGTCAATCAAATAATTTAATGATGCTTAAATTGAGCAAAAGTATATGGAGGATAATCGCTGATGTTTATTATTTATTATCATAGTCTTCGAACTTTTGCTATGGCGTCTTCCCTTTTATCGCCTTGTCTGTATCATCAATTATGCGTGCACACTAAAAGGCAGCAAAAAAGAGCAAAGAGAAAGGTAATTGTGAAAAAGGAAACGCAGCTACTGTCAGTCATGCCGTTATGTGAATACTCAACATTGTTCTTCTGCTATGTTGTCTGTTCAGTGCTCATTGTGTGTTCGTTGTTGACTGCTTTTGTTGCTGTTTTTTTTGGATACGCTCTTACAGAGATGTAATGCGCACTGATATGTCAACTATTTCCATGAGAATTCTAAATAAATTACAATTTTGTTTTTCTTAATTTCTTGTACTTATTTTGCTTTTCCCTTGATTCTTTCCTTTGGCCGGTTAAATGCTTAATTATTCGTTTCGCGATTGCGATCGAACGAGACGTAAAACGGTGTGCTCGCAAAACAGAACACGTTCTTTTCTTTTTTCATTCTGCCTTTACTTTCGCACTTCTGGATATAATCGGGAAAATATGTCAGTTGTGATCGGAGAGTGTTACTTGAACAACTCCATCGTTGGCGTTATCGTTGTTGGATAACTTTTTTCCCTCACATAAGAAAAAAAAACAGACGTACTGAAGAAATGTTTTCGGTAGTGATATTTTACGGCAACATAATAAGAAGGGAGCAAAAAAATATGCACGTTGAAATACCTTTAGGGAAGCAGCAAGTTTATAAATATTCATTATAATAAATATTAGCATACATATTTTTGTTTCTCTTTTTGCCCTCCTCGTTCTCTAAATTTAATTGTTAACTGCTGCCTTATGCATTTGTTTTGTCGCTTTTTGGTAAGTTGAAGTATAAATGAGAAAACGAAAGATGTTTTGGCACTAGACTGTGCAGCGATACAACTTTAATAAGCTTTTGAATTTATGTTACGTCCATTAAAACATTTTGTTAGGGAGAACTCTTGCTGACTCTTCTGACTATCAACGATGAGATACTTGCCCTATTTCATACTTTTTTATTTTAGTGGAAGTTTGGAATTAATTCTTCTTTCTTCTCAATTTTAAATGTTCATTATGGCTCTATGATAAGGTAAGAGAGAGAGAGAGAGAGAGAGAGAGAGAGAGAGAGAGAGAGGGATCTATATTAGTGCTTGTGGTGAATATTATTTGGTTGGCTATTATGATTTTAAACGAACTCCTTGTTTTCAAACGAAAAGGCTAGAATAAATGACATTTACTGTACTAAGACTAACAAAATCATAACGATAACACCACTCACAAACAGCTGCAAAGGGGAAATGTGTTGAAAGTTTTTTTCGTCAGATAGCAGAAATTATCATG